GTGGTCTAAGAACTTAAAAAAATTTTAATTTACCTATTCAAACCATATCATTATTATTTGCTTTATATATAAATCAGAAATAACCAATTTAAAATGGAAAATTTTAAAGAAAAAAAAATCCCCCCCCCAAATTTTTTGAACCCCCTTGTGATTCATCACCCCCAAACTCAATCCCAGCCTTCCCTTTGTGGTTACTGGTATGGTACCTGCAGTACAATTTCAGAGAGATCCATACACTTGAACACAAGTTATTGTCTGTAAACTAGAAAAATGCTTGTTTTTTTGGCCCCTTTTTGGCCCCAAATTCCTAAAAGTTTAGGGCAATTACCCCAAACTCAAACCCAGCTTTCCCTTTGTGATATGGAACCTTGTAGTACAATTTCATAAAGATCCATACACTTACACACAAGTTATTGTCCTGAAACTAGAAAAATGCTTGTTTTTTTCCCCTTTTTTGGCCCCTAATTCCTAAAATTTTGAAGCAATTACCCCCAAAATCAATCCCAGCCTTCCCTTTTTGGTATGGTACCTTGCAGTACAATTTAAAAAAGATCCATACACTTGAACACAAGTTATTGTCTGGAAACTAGAAAAATGCTTATTTTTGGCCCCTTATTCCTAAACGTTTTGGGCAATTACCCCCAAACTCAATTCCAGTTTTCCCTTCGTGATATGGAACCTTGTAGTACAATTTCAGAAAGATCCATACACTTACACACAAGTTATTGTCATGAAACTTCGTACGACGACGACGCCAACGTCATACCAATACAGACCGCAAAATTTTTTTGTGGTTGTATAAAAATTGCTTTTTACCTTGGATATTCTTATTTTTCACTATAAAATGCATTACATATAAAATATAAAGTAAAATATATATAAATAAAAAAATGTTGAAATATAATATAAAAAAGTTTTTATTAAAGTTAATGATAAAAATAAACCCACAGCTTTCCCTCATTGTTAAAATATAGATTATTCCAACTGTCCTAGATATAAGATGAAAATTAACTGCCATTTCCTGTTTCTATTATAGGACATTGTATTGTTTCCTGGAAAATGTGAAATGAGCTTTCATTAAGTTTTCCTGGTAAATGTTAAATGAGCTTTCATTTAATCAATAAACTATCACAACTTAATTAACTGTATGGAGTAGGAAGGTGAACACTGACTGCAGTGCAATAATCATTTTTCAAAAAATAAAAATAAAAAAATAAATAAATGAATCATTGATTTATTTGTTTAAAGTTGTTTGAAAAACATTTTTCTAATAACATGTCATATGAATAATTTACTAAACCTTTCATTGATTTATGAAGGAGTCTTAATTATACAAAACTAATAAATCATGAAATTGAATATATAATAGTTCAATTACAGGTACAATTGATTTCTGATTTCATTCACTATCCCTCAATTTAGTAATCAAATAAAATCTTTGAAACCTAAATCATTCCTTCTAAGCACTAAGATCAAGCTGTCTGTCTTTTGTCCTGGTAGGTCTACAAGAATGTTCACTTACAATGGATGCTGGGTAATAGCAGCAATACATGTATTATTGTATGGGTTTTTCTCATTGGTGAAGGCGATACGGTTGCCTTTAATTGCTTACATCCACTTCATTTGAACTTTGGTGGATAGTTGTCTCATTGCCAATCATACCACATCTCCTTATTTCTTATATTATCCCCCTCTCACACTATCAAAAGTGACTGGAAAACATAATCACATCCCCTAATTTACAGTAACTGGACATAAAACAAGAGGCACCAAGGAATTCTTCTTCAGCTCATTTTTGCTTTACAATTTGCCCTCTCTCTATAACCACTTTCGAAATAAATGCAAAAATTGTAAAAAAAAAAGATAAAAGTCATCATTTAACGGCAGTAATTCTGATAAGTTGTCTGACAATGTTGGTCAAAATGAGCAGTATGTAGATATTCGGAACATTTATGATTTGCTCTTTCTATAAATGTTCAGAATTGAAAATTGTTACATCAAACTTAACCTCGATTTGGTCATCAGTAACAATATATCAATTAAATTTTAAAAAGCATTTGATTGAACAGTTATCAAGTTATGGCACAAAAAAACAACATAAAACGATTTATCAAGGACCATTAATCTTCAGAAAGATAGTAGTCTGCGACAAATGCATTTTTCCATTTATATTTTTCTCTCTTTCTACTATAATTTCAAAATAAAAACACAAAATCAGTAAACATCATCATTAAAGGGCAATAACTCTTATTAGGAGTCATTATAAGGAGTCAACTGACTATTTTGGCAATGTTGACCTATATTAAGACAATCATCAAGACAATAGCATACTTGATAAGACCGCAGAGGTCGAAACCCTGAACAGTTTGGGCAAGTATGGACACTAAATAATTGACACAGCATAGGTTTCTGACACAGAATGAATGTGGTCAATATCCAAAATCTAAATAAACAGTTAGATTCAGCATATCCAAGTACACCAAGAATTTTTTAAAGGGGTTCGGATGATGACGACTATGCTGACAACGCCAACATAAATGATGCAAAAGTTCAATATTCATTGTCTAAATGGAGAGAAGTAAAATTTGAAATTCTGAACATTTTTGCCCTTCAGAGATTTCTATTTACAAATAGTTTCAATATGTTTGACAAATATCTTATACCAGACAAAGTTGTTTTGTTATAAATTAGGCCGTTAGTTTTCTAGATTGAATTATTTCATACTTCTCATTGTTGAACGCAGTACATTTGCCTATAATTCTCACATCCACTTCATTTGAACTCTGGTGGATAGTTGTCTCATTGGCAATCATACCATATCTCCTTATTTTCTTTTGGCAATCAAGCCACATCTCCTTGTTTTCTTTTGGCAATCAAGCCACATCTCCTTGTTTTCTTTTGGCAATCATACCACATCTCCTTAATTCCTTTTGGCAATCATACCACATCTCCTTATTTTCTTTTGGCAATCATGCCACATCTCCTTATTTTCATTTGGCAATCATACCACATCTCCTTAATTCCTTTTGGCAATCATACCACATCTCCTTATTTTCTTTTGGCAATCATGCCACATCTCCTTGTTTTCTTTTGGCAATCATACCACATCTCCTTATTTTCTTTTGGCAATCATACCACATCTCCTTAATTCCTTTTGGCAATCATACCACATCTCCTTATTTTCTTTTGGCAATCATACCACATCTCCTTATTTTCTTTTGGCAATCATACCACATCTCCTTATTTTCTTTTGGCAATCATACCACATCTCCTTATTTTTTTATAAAGACCGAAGTCATAATATAGCTCACTGTAGTCTATTTTGCCATTATAGCAAAAACATGACACAAACTGATAACATAGAATCTGACAGTCTTCACACTTAAGCACAGGCCCACCAGGCAAGGCTTGACACATTGCTTTCGGGCTGTAAAAATCATCTATACAGGCCAATAGAATCTTACTAAAATGTTTGTAAAATTGAGCTTCTTGCCCTGTGGATTTAAAAGTTTATCATGAAGACTGATCTAAAACTACTAATGGAACAAAAATTTACTAAAATATCACATTCTTTGTTATAGGGATAGCCATAAACTTATACCATTTTGTCTCTTCTATTTCTAGTAAAAGAGAGGCGAAAGATACCAAAGGGACATTCAAACACACAAGTCGAAAACTAACTGACAACGTCATGGCTAAAAAAGAAAAAGACAAACAGACAAACAATAGTACACAAAACACAACATACAAAACTAAAGACTGAGCAAGATGAACCAGTAATGTTCAGAGTTTGGTACAGCAAATTCACAAACTTTAATACATCTTTTGTGATCTCAAAACAGCTGATTTTAATTAAAGTTAATAGGAGTAATTGACTTCTCAATTTGAATCTGACAGGAAAATATGATGGGACTTAAGATAGGGGAGCTTATTTGCTAGTCGTGCTTCAATGTTGGAACTTAAGAAAGGGGAGCTTATTTGCTAGTCATGCTTCAATGTTGGAACTTAAGAAATGGGAGCTTATTTGCTAGTCGTGCTTCAATGTTGGAACTTAAGAAATGGGAGCTTATTTGCTAGTCATGCTTCAATGTTGGAACTTAAGAAATGGGAGCTTATTTGCTAGTCGTGCTTCAATGTTGGAACTTAAGAAATGGGAGCTTATTTGCTAGTCGTGCTTCAATGTTGGAACTTAAGAAATGGGAGCTTATTTGCTAGTCGTGCTTCAATGTTGGAACTTAAGAAATGGGAGCTTATTTGCTAGTCGTGCTTCAATGTTGGAACTTAAGAAATGGGAGCTTATTTGCTAGTCGTGCTTCAATGTTGGAACTTAAGAAATGGGAGCTTATTTGCTAGTCGTGCTTCAAAGCTTGTTTGCTGCATGTATGGCATTATTATTATTACAAGATACAATGGAACACTTTATCTTATATGTTTATTTTTGTCACTTATTAGGTTTTTGGACCATATACCATGTTTCAATATAGACAAATATATACAGTAGGAGATTTAAATGAGTGAAAAATGAAATCACACGTAGAACCATGATCTACTGCTTACTAATAATTCCCAGACTTTTAAGTATTTAGTAAACAGAAAGTTGGAGAGCAATGTATGTGAAAATATATCGCACTATACATCATAAAATTGAGAATGGAAATGGGGAATATGTCAAAGAGACAACAACCCGACCAAAGAGCAGACAACAGCTTCTTTTCTCATACAAATCATGCTCACATAAATGTTGATTCTAAAGCTGTTTTCACAATCAAATCTATCCACAAGCTCTGACTTGTAGTTCCTGAGAAAAATGTGTTGGAAATTTCATGGCATGGACAGACAGGGGTTAACAGTCTACCCTTCTCATTTCAACATTTAAAATGCCAGTTTTAATTTTTACAAAACTTATCCTGTCGTAATTTCCCACAATTAATAAAAACATCACAAAAACTTCTGAATAAATTAATCATAGGCTTATTTTCTGATACAAATTAATTTTATACCTTTTGATTGAATCTTTTCCAGATTTGGTGAAATGATGACACATTTTATCTTCCTCAATTTCAAATGTTTTGCAACTTCTCTTAAACCAAGCACCAGTCTTCGTTTTAACTTTGCCTGAAAATGAACAAATTAGTTTAAGCAAACTGAAAAAATATAACTTACTAAAGGAAAATAAGAAGTCATCATGACTGGTAACAAAGTTTCAAACTAAATGCAAGTCAGTTTTGATTGTCTCCCTTTGACTAGTCAGGGGACTTACTTAAATGTATTTCAATCATTCTCTGTCAAATAGTTTGTTTGAATTATTATTGGTTTTCAAGGAGTTATTATCGTGTTGAAATAAATCTTTTATGGTTAATAATGGATGATAACATGAAGATTGAAAATTGAGACAAAATGACAAGAAAACAAACATGCATTGCACAATGTCGTGTCTTTCTCTGACTGTTAATGAAGTCTTTACACTAAATTCATTAGATGCTGGATGTGTACTGATTGATATTTTAGTCTTCGATGCATGATTTTTTTTATAAGTTGTTATTGGCTTTGAACTAGCTGTCAGTAACTGCAAGTACTCTCAGATCTGTACTTAGTGTCTTTTTGTTGTGGGGATGTATAAGTACCCTGCCACGTCCAATCTGTGTTTTTGTTAGATGTATTTCTTCTTTGTATCCATCTGATGAGTTAAGCCCTTTTTGACTGATTTTTATAGTTTGTTCTTATGTTGTACTGTTACACCACTGTCCCAGGTATATGTCCTATAGTTGTTAATGTCTGTGTCGTTTGGTCTGTTGTGAAGAGTTGTCTCATTGGCAATCATACCACATCTTCTTATTTTCATATCATAAAGTCAAAGTTATGGTTGTAAGTCTTAGTTGATATGTTAAACTATTTTTTCATTGGACCACACACATTCCATCAAATCTATTGTTGCTAGTCAGATTCATTTAAAACAACACAATTCCTGTCAATGTTTTATTTTGAACATTTATCAGTTTTGCATTAGAATAAGAATAACAGTATCACAGTAGAAGAGTTGCCACCATCAATTTAGATTTAATGATTGTAAATATTTGTTTTAATGGTTGCAATCTGTGTTGCCAGTACAACTGCTTTTGCAACAGTCAAATCCCTAATTAACAGTGATAACTCTTCAACTGCAGCACTGATATCAATACAGGATTTTACTAAAATTAGCAAATGAGCCAGTGCAGTTGTAACATCATGAAAAAGTCCATATTTTGGTCAATTTTCAAAAAGTTTTTGGATCTGAAATATAGAACACATGAAATTCACTACCAACTAAAGAATTTACTATAAAAAAAAAAAAGGTTTGATGACTTTAGACTGCACTCATATTTAAAAGATCTTACTGTTTAAGCTTTAAAATTGACTCGAAAGTGTTAATCTTAAAACCATAACTTTAAAACCCAACCAACCAATGGTGTTTTCACAAACCAGGAAAATCTATACCACAAAGACAAGTGCTTCCAATGTCATCTCTTTGACTATAATGATGGTAATGATTTAACAACTGACCTTAGAAGGATCTTTGTATTACATTTATCAACTGACCTTAGAAGGATCTTTGTGGTACATTCTGTCCTGGAATCTAACCAGATCTTGTAGTAAAGTAGTGGCACATTCATCAATATCTTTATCTAACACCTGATTACAATATCTGTAAAAAGAAAATCAATTTATGCTGAGTCAGGTTAAAAGTTATGTCAGTTGAATCAAAATAAGTTTAGTATAGAAGAACAGAAATTTATAAGGCATTAAATTACCAAGCTATTTCTCCTGTGTTTTATATTTACAATAAAATTGAGAATGGAAATGGGAAATATGTCAAAGAGACAACAACCCGACCAAAGAGCAGACAACAGCCGAAGACCACCAATGGGTCTTCAATGCAGCGAGAAAATCCCGCACCCGGAGGTGGTCCTCAGCTGGCCCCTAAATAAAATTGTGTGCTAGTTCAGTGAAAATGGATGTCACACTAAACTCCAAAACATATAAATGAACTAAAATTAAAAAACATACAAGACTAACAAAGGCAAGAGGCTCCTGACTTGGGACAGGCGCAAAAATGCGGCGGGGTTAAACATGTTTTGTGAGATCTCAACCCTCCCCTATACCTCTAGCCAATGTAGAATAAAGAAACACATAGCAATACGCACAGTAAAACTCAGTTTAAAAGAAGTGCATTTCTTTTAGATAATAAATTAAAATTAAAAAAGTCCTACTTGCTCTATCTCAAAAACATTTTTACAGTGTAGTGTACTAATTTTGGGATGAATTATATCAAAATTATAGAAAAGTCTACCAACTCTAACTCAAAATATAGACAATTCTATGGTAAGGGGGTCTATAGTTCAGTTTGACAGCTTCAGACAAACTTAATTTTTGACCTTTTTTTAACTGGACCAAATGATCACCCTGTCTAAAAATTCATCACCAAAATTTAGTTAACACGTAATTTCGTCCCCCTTCTTAATATTTTATGCATAAAATATAAAGAAATAAATTTAGAAGGTGAATGAAAAAAATTGCAAGTTAAAAACTGTCCACACTAGGAACTATATTTGTAGACAACTAAAATCAAAAGAACTATGACTGCGTCCTCGGACCATATTGTCTATGAATATAAGCCCATGCTTTGAATTCTATTTCATTGAATTAACACTGTTCTTTTTTCATCATGCTCCAACTCATCAACATATTTTAACATCGAAATTATTAAAAAATTCAAATCTGATTAAATTTAAAAGTTCAAAGTTTCAAGTCATTATCTCCCTTTGACAGTAAAACGAACAATAAAAAACTAAAATGTTTCAAATATTATTTGCACAATTTTTATTCTTTCAAGTTATTCTATTGCTTGTTGCATTATCTAAAGAATCCATTATAATTGGACCTTTAAATATAACTATAATATTATAAAATCCATAAATAATTTTTAAAGCAACCTGTCAAATAAAAATGATTGTTTTTGTGTTTTTCTTTTGTACCAATGTCCAAGATTTGGGAAGGGTTGGGCACCCACAAACATGTTTAACTCTGCCACATTCTGTATGTGCCAGTCCCAAGTTAGGAGCCTGTAATTCAGTGGTTATTGTTTGTTGCTGTATATCATATTTGTTTTTCGTTTATTATTTTGTACATAAATCAGTTTTCTAGTTTTAATTATATTAGATTTGTCATTTCTGGGGCTTTTATAGCTTGCTATGCGGTATTGTAGAGGGCTGTACAGTGAGCTATAGCTGCTAACTTCTCTGTCATCCGGTTTCTTGTGGAGATTTGTCTTATTGCCATATAACCCACCTTATTTCTAAATATGATGCTAACTGAATAGATGAATAAACTCACTCTCTAAATCTTCTGCTGTGTATCTTTTTAACCACATCCTTCCCAACAGCCCCTGCTATAGGACTATTGACCTCTGAACTTAATGGACTGGTTCCAGGAGACAGTGGACTCATGCTAATAGGTGAAGTCTGACTGACTGGAGACAGGTTTGCACTTCCTGGGGTACCAGTGTAATCAATTGAACTCTTTGTACTCATGGCTAAAATGTAATAATAAAATGATGTGGATATATGAAGTCAAAATTTTTATTAATATCTTAATTTGTTCAAGTCATCAAAGTTATTAAATAAAACAGTTGTAACTCTCCTTATAATGAAATATAAATTTATATAATTATTTTAAATGTGTGTGTTTCCAGAAATAAATGAAAATCAGACAACATTGTTTTATTCTTCTTCAAGCAAGCTTTAACCATGTTAAACTGGCTGCAAACATTTGCTTAAATAAAATACTACTGCAGCTATAAATAATTTTAGAGTTATTTCCCTTGGACCATTAAAATTAAAAAGATCAGTGATTATCTGGAGGCATGAGAAATAGAAAAATCTTCTTATAATAACCCTATATATAGCACAATGGATACATTTTTCTTTCTATGTACAAATACTTGTGTTGTGATATGTTGTGAGCACTTACCCTCTTCTATGTACATATACTTGTGGTGTGATATGTTGTGAGCACTTACCATCTTCTATGTACAAATACTTGTGTTGCGATATGCTGTGAGCACTTACCATCTTCTATGTACAAATACATGTGTTGCAATATGTTGTGAGCACTTACCATCTTCTATGTACAAATACTTGTGTTGTGATATGTTGTGAGCACTTACTATCTTCTATGTACAAATACTTGTGTTGCGATATGTTGTGAGCACTTACCATCTTCTATGTACAAATACTTGTGTTGCGATATGTTGTGAGCACTTACCATCTTCTATGCACAAATACATGTGTTGCGATATGTTGTGAGCACTTACCATCTTCTATGTACAAATACATGTGTTGCGGTATGTTGTGAGCACTTACCATCTTCTATGTACAAATACTCAGGGTTTAAGCTAGGATTTTGAGGGCTTTAGTCACTTTTGCGCGGGATGAAAATCAACCTTATTTTGGGTAGCAACAAGGGACCTAGGATGTATATTACTATCTATACATCTTTGTCAGACTTTGAAGGACTTTGGCATACTTTGCAGTTACTGCATGATTTGACTGATGTGGCACCTTAAAAACATTGTAAATCGATATTTAGAATTAATTCTATAAAGTTGGAACCAAGGATTTGTACAAATCCTTATTGGAACAATTCTAATGATTTTAAATTGTAAATTTATCATGAATAGATCACGTTTACTTTCGATTTCCAAATGAAATGAAAACGGGAAGTGACAAGTGGGTAATAAATTCAGAATGAATCCGGATTCATCTACGGATTGGTTCGTGTTTAAAAAAGGCAGGAAATTATCAGTTTTTAAATTAAATTTGCTAAAGAAGAACTATATTTGTCTCTCTCCTTTAGTTTGATACTTGATTATTTCATATTTTACGTTTTAGTGTCTTTAAATTCATAAGAATACTTTCGTGCATGCGCAGTTCATCATAAAGGAAGCACCTGTTTGACTCGTGAAAACATTTCTGATTGTTATGAATAAAGTTTATCTTTTTAATCCAAATTGTCGAAAGTTTTTGATTAAAAGTTATATCAAAATGACGAAAATACGTTCATTTGACGAAACTACGACAAGCGAACTGCAAATTGTGATCGTTTGAGAAATATTGAAATTTAAATGCGAACTGTCTGAGGGAAAACTCAAATGACGAAACTACAACAAACGAACTGCAAATTGTGCTTGTTTGATAAATATTGAAATTGAAATGCCGACTGACTGATTTTACTGGGGAAAATAATTATGAGGTTGATAAATAATTAACGGATTAGTGACCCATCCGATGGCAATAAGCGGATTATCTGTAATCACAACTTATAACACCTGTTGTAAATGTTAATTAGCTGAGGGTCATAAACTTGTCAGAAACAATAAGACAGGTAGAATTATAGTATTTTCATGTGAAAATATTTTTACTCTTTCCAAATTTAAGTGACGAAATTGATTTGGAATACTTTCGTCATTTTGAAAACCGTTTCGTAAATGACGAAAATGACGAGCGCTAGCAAAATCACTGCAAATACTTGTGTTGTGGTATGTTGTGAGCACTTACCATCTTCTATGTACAAATACATGTGTTTCGATATGTTGTGAGCACTTACTATCTTCTATGTACAAATACATGTGTTGTGATATGTTGTGAGCACTTACTATCTTCTATGTACAAATACATGTGTTGTGATATGTTGTGAGCACTTACCATCTTCTATGTACAAATACATGTGTTTCGATATGTTGTGAGCACTTACTATCTTCTATGTACAAATACATGTGTTGTGATATGTTGTGAGCACTTACCATCTTCTATGTACAAATACATGTGTTTCGATATGTTGTGAGCACTTACCATCTTCTATGTACAAATACATGTGTTGTGATATGTTGTGAGCACTAACTATCTTCTATGTACAAATACATGTGTTGTGATATGTTGTGAGCACTTACTATCTTCTATGTACAAATACATGTGTTGTGATATGTTGTGAGCACTTACCATCTTGAGACAGATCACTTTCAGCACTTACAACACCAATACCAACAGCTGCTCTGTAAATATATAGTAGCCAAGTAAACATATAGTAGCCAAGTAAACATATAATAGCCAAGTAAACATATAGTAGCCAAGTAAACATATAGTAGCCAAGTAAACATATAGTAGCCAAGTAAACATATAGTAGTCAAGTAAACATATAGTAGTCAAGTAAACATATAGTAGTCAAGTAAACATATAGTAGTCAAGTAAACATAATTATAGTAGTCAAGTAAACATATAGTAGTCAAGTAAACATATAGTAGTCAAGTAAACATATAGTAGTCAAGTAAATATACAGTAGTCAAGTAAATAGTAGTCAAGTAAATATATAGTAGCCAAGTAAATATATAGTAGTCAAGTAAATATATAGTAGCCAAGTAAATATATAGTAGTCAAGTATATATATAGTAGTCAAGTAAATATATAGTAGTCAAGTAAATATATAGTAGCCAAAATTGTTATTTAGAGTTTCAGATAATATCTTTTGAACCAATCATTACCAAAATTAGAAGGGTAAAGTTTTGTATCTGCACTATTTCAATTTAAAAGAAGCACATGACTATACACCAATATAGAAATAAGGAGATTTGGTATGATTGCCAATGAGACAACTATCCACCAAAGTTCAAATGAAGTGGATGTTACCAATGTCTGTAAGGGCTATTCCATTAAAATGTATGTGGGCAGGTAGGAAGGGAAGTTTAATTATTGAACGTGGATCATGGGTCTTTTTTCAGTATGCGTCTATTACCATTATGCAAAACTATCTAAATAAAATGCTCCGCAGGGTGCAGCTTGATACGACCGCAGAGGTCGAACCCTGAACAGTTTGGGCAAGTATGGACACAACATTCAAGCTTGATACAGCTTTGCATTTGGATTGTGATTAAATATTGACACAGCATAGGTTTCTGACACAGAATGAATGTGGTCTAAGAGCTTAAAAATTTTAAATTGGACATTCACCTATTATGGTCTAATATCCAAAATCTAAATAAATGGTTAGATTCAGCATATCAAAGAACCCCAAGAATTCAATTTTTGATGAAATCAAACAAAGTTTAATTTTGGACCCTTTTGACCTCAATGTGGACAAAGTTGATAACGGGGCCCAAAAATCAAAAATCTAAATACATGGTTAGATTCAGCATATCAAAGAACCCCATATATTCAATTTTTGTTGAAATCAAACAAAGTTTAATTTTGGACCCTTTGGACCTTAATGTAGACCAATTTGAAAACGGAACCAAAAATTAAGAATCTAAATACACGGTTAGATTGGGCATATCAAAGAACCCAAATAATTCAATTTTTGATGAAATCAAACAAAGTTTAATTTTGGACCCTTTGGACCTCAATGTGGACCAATTTAAAAACGGGGCCCAAAATCCAAAATCTAAATACACGGTTAGATTCAGCATATTAAAGAACCCCAAGAATTCAAGAATAAAACCCCATTGAAATTGGTCAAGAAATAAGCAATTTATAGGAAGTATCTTCTTTTGCACAATACTGTGCAATTAAATATTTCTTGCTATTGCGCAATACTGTACAATTGACAATTTCTTGCTATTGCGCAATATTGTGCTATTGGATATTTCTTGCTATTGCGCAATACTGTGCAATTGAAGATTTCTTGCTATTGCGCAATACTGTGCAATTGAAGATTTCTTGCTATTGTGCAATACTGTGCAATTGAAAATTTCTTGCTATTGCACAATACTTATTATATAATAATTTACACATCCTGTTTGGTGTGTATCTCCTACCATATCATTATTATTTGCTTTTAAATATAAATCAGAAATAACCAGCTTAAAATGGAAAATTTTAAAAGAAAAAAAAAAAGGAAAAAAATAAATCCTCCCCCCCAAATTTTTTGAACCCCCTTATGATTCATCACCCCCAAACTTAATCCTCACCTTCCCTTTGTGGTATGGTACCTTGCAGTACAATTTCAGAGAGATCCATACACTTGAACACAAGTTATTGTCTGGAAACTAGAAAAATGTGTTTTTTGGCCCCAAATTCCTAAACGTTTAGGGCAATTACCCCCAAACTCAAACCCAGCTTTCCCTTTGTGATATGGAACCTTGTAGTACAATTTCAGAAAGATCCATACACTTACACACAATTTATTGTCCTGAAACTAGAAAAATGCTTGTTTTTTGCCCCTTTTTGGCCCCTAATTCCTAAAATATTGAGGCAATTACCCCCATCATCAATCCCAGCCTTCCCTTTGTGGTATGGTACCTTGCAGTACAATTATAGAGAGATCCATACACTTGAACACAAGTTATTGTCTGGAAACTAGAAAAATGCTTATTTTTGGCCCCTTTTTGGCCCCCAATTCCTAAACGTTTCGGCAATTACCCCCAAACTCAATTCCAGCTTTCCCTTTATGATATGGAACCCTGTAGTACAATTTCAGAAAGATCCATACACTTACACACAAGTTATTGTCATGAAACTAGAAAAATGCTTGTTTTTTGCCCCTTTTTTGGCCCCTAATTCCTAAAATTTTGAGGCAATTACCCCCAAAATCAATCCCAGCATTCCTTTTGTGATATGGAACCTTGTGGTACAATGTCAGAGAGATCCATACACTAACACACAAGTTATGTCTGGAAGTTACAAAAATGCTTATTTTTGGCCCCTTTTTGGCCCCTAATTCCTTTACTGTTGGTACCATAACCCCCAAAATCAATCCCAACCTTCCTTTTGTGGTATTGAACCTTGTGGTAAAATTTCATAGAGATCCATTGACTTAAACTAAAGTTAGAGTGCGAAAACCAATGTGTCTTCGGACGACGCAGGACGACGCCAGACGACGACGACGACGCCAACGTCATACCAATATACGACCACAAAAATTTTTTTGCGGTCGTATAAAAATGGTTCTTGGTTATAGGGATATTTTGAAAGTCCCTTCCTACCCTTTAACATACATTTTAATGGAATAGCCCTAATTACAAATATACCATTATTTGACTTAAATTTTTATGCACAATTTTCAGTCTTTCTACAAGTAATAAACACAACAAACGTTCTTCTACAGGAGGTCAGTAAGTAAAAATATATCACTCAATAAAAAACACATGTTGTTTACCAAAAATATTAGTTTTTCTACCAACAACAAACTGAAAGGTAAACATGACTAAGAGATGAGTCAGGAACCTCTACCCTTTGTCAGTCTTGCATGTTTTTTTTTAAAAATTTTGGTTCATTTACATATTGTGGAGTTTAGTGTGGCGTCCATTTCGCTTAGCTAGTATACATTATTGTTTAGGGGCCAGCTGAAGCTCGCCTCAGTGAAATGGATTTTCTGGCTGCGTTGAAGACCCATTGGTGGCCTTTAGCTGTTTTCTGCTCGTTGGTTTGGTTGTTGTCTCTTTCACACATTCCCCCATTTCCATTCTCTATTCTTTTCAGTAATTATTTATGATGAGTTACTCTGTCCTTTATAATACCTACTCTGTTGATCCTGATTCTGTTCCTTCTAACATCTTTAAATGTTTCTTCTCTTCTCTCTCTTTCAATATCACCTACAAAAAAATTGGAAAATAAGTATGGGGTAAAAGGTCACATAAAAATATAAAAATAAAGAGATGTTGTACGATTGCTAATAATACAACTAGCTAGCAGAGTTCAATAACGAAGATATAAGCAGTTATAAGTCACCATTCAGCATTCAAGATGAGAAAACCCTAGTTAGCCATTAAAGGCCCTGACATGAAAAATGTGAAACAGTTAAATGAGAAAACTAAGAGCCAAATATGACAGACATGAACCAAAAACAACTTGGGGGATGCTGGACTAAATAAATATACCTTCTAGAGAGAAGCTGTTACAAAATATCATCAATAAATCATTAATCCTCTGTAGTATCTATACTAACATAAAGAAATAAAACTGAGGTAATATTCATGACATGAATTGGGTTTCAGCATTAAAAGAAATAAATGGAGAATGTGTCGATGGGACACAGATGATGCCTTTGCTTGCATATAACGTTATAAAGGGACATAACTAGAGAACTGTAAAAGTGATGCCATCCAAATTCGAACTTGATCTGTGTTTTCTGGTAATAAGCATTGTGTATAAGTTTCATAACATTAGGTTGAGGCAAACTAAAGGTAGAGAATGAAAACCAATTTTGGGACGTACGTACGGACGGACAAGTGTAACACTTAATGCCCCCTTCGCCTAGTGGTGGGGGCATAAAAAGTTCTAAATATGACACTGACACATGTTTTAATCTAACCTTTTTTAATGGACTGGGTTTCTTTGCCTTTGGCGTTTCTCTCTCTTTTCCACGTTTTATAGGAGCACTAGCATCTAAAACATTGTGACTTCCTTTGGATTTCTACAAAAACAGCAAATATTTCTTATCAAGTATGTTTAATTATTTTTACATGGGGAAGTTAAAAAACTGGATTTCTCAGCCTGTCCAATGTCAAGAATCAGTTGCAGCTGTTCTTCAGGATTATTTTTGTGGTGTATCATTTGACCATGTTGACATTGCATAGAAGATTCATATGATTCTGTAATTTTGATTTGCTGAGGCATTCCAGAAGTCAAATATCAATTTTGCATAAAATCTTTGACTGTACATGCTATCCATGACAACATTAAAACAATGCATAGAAAAACAAATGAAAGGCTTGATCAAACTAGTAGTTTAATGGTTGTACAATAAAAATGTAATTATATGAATTGAATGCTTCTAGTTGTAAATCTATCAGGTTGTAAAAAAGTTGAACATTCACATGTTTAGTTTCTGTACTTCATACTTAATGTGATTTCGTCAATGCTTTTAGGCACCAACAAAATTACAAAATGAAGGATTCAATTCTTTGAAGGTTTAACAAATGACATTTCCAAAACAATCACTTTTAATATGGGACAGTCATTACAATATTTCTATTGTGTCTATGTGTCTTATTGTTTGGTGTCTGCCCTGTTGCAGGTTAAACCCCCTTTTTCTTCTTGTTCATATCCTGAATCAACTGGACAAATTAGATATATTGACCTACCTGTTCCTCTTTGTTCTTTGGTTGTTCCGCTTTGACTTTTTGTTCTGTTCTAGCACCAGATGTTAAACTTATTGTCTTTTTTTGCTGCAATGATAATAGTATTTTGATCAACATGTTTTTTTTTTAATAAATTTCAATTTAACTTTTTACCAATAAAAAAAGGAATCAATTCGTAATTGTCCAGTCCGAACCTTTTACAAACCTTTTTTATGTTTTCTATACACGGGAAAATTATTGGAAAACAGATAATTTATATCCCAAATTGCACTACTTTTTAAGCTTCAATTTACTTCTTTCAGTTGCTCTTACGTGACTGAATACCAGAATGTCCTACCCCAGAGAAAGTAACCTGTTGAAAAACAATATGCTCTGGAGTCAAAATTTGGTAATATAAAAATGGTCTTTTAGGCAATTATTTCCTGAACTTCTTTTTGAGGAAACTGGTACTTCTTCCTATCGCTTTAATGGAACCCTAAGCTGATGTTTCAAAATCATGAATTTGTTTTTAAATCTTTACAGCTCTCAATGATGTAAAATTTGTTTGCAATGTTTACTTGTTAACTTCTATGTCATTTGGTATCTGGTGGAGAGTTGTCTCATTGGCAATCATATCACATCTTCTTATTTTCATATTTACTAATACATCTTGGAGGTTGATCATCATACAGATAGATGACAGAATTATTATTACAGATATGCATGATAGCCTAGGAGAAAGTGAGATGATTTGAAAACATGAGAAATAGACACATCTAAGCAATCCTTGTTACTGAATTACCTCTAGTGCATCAATAACAGCCCCAAGATCTAATGACACATTTTGTTTTGATTTTTTTCCAGAATTCTGAGCTTTTGGATTAACTTTCAATATTCCAGGTGTCTGTCCTTTCTCATCTTTGTGACTTTTTTGTCCTTGGGTTTTTAGACATTGTTCTTTCAACATTTGCTGTTCTAGGCCTATCTCTGCCAGTTCATTCTCAGCTGCCGTATTGAGTATATCTTTTCTTTTCCTTCTTCTTCTGCTTGCTCTTGTACCTTTGTCTTCTGTTAAAGATAATTACTAGAGGTACTACTTGCAAAGCTTACAAAATGATACATAACCCTCCCCACACATAAAGAAATGTCAAAGTCTATAATCTTTGAGGGAAAACCTAAAAAATAATTTGGATTACAAATAAAATAGTTAGAGCATATGTACAACATTTCAGTTAAACCTGTCTATAAAGGGCACCCATGGGAAGGCAGTTTAAAGACAGGTTTATAAATAGGTTGTTGATGGAACCACATAACTTGTTAATTTTTGTTAATACCTGCATATCTGTATGTTTTCATGTGTTTTGTGTTTGTTTGATAGATATTTTTTTTTAACCTTAGTTTATAGGAACCCATCAACTTTATTGCAAAATCTAAAACAGGATAATATAGGTCAAAGGTTGAAACATGTTCATTTGGTACTTTTATGAGGACTCAATAATCGGGCTAATTTTATTCCAACTGTCAAATTCATGTCAAAATTCATTAATCCGTTAATGAAACTTCATAATTGACCATTATAATAATTTTTTTCATTTAATTCGGTCAGTCAGCATTTCAATTTCAATATTTCTCTAGGGATGTGTAAAATGGAAAAGGAAGGGGGGGGGGGGGGGATTTTTTATATATTTTTTACATATAATATTACAAATATAAGTTTAACAGTCTGAAAAGACATGGTTAAATGGATTTTAATTCTGAAAATCTCAATGTGGTTTATTATAATTCATTTATTATTTTTATCATAATCAGAAACACTGGGCTACATGTATTAGGCATTTCAAACATATACATGATATATTATTGCCTTTAAAAGAACATTCAAGACTATAAATAAGTATGTACCTGTAGTAAAAATACCCTGGTTGGGCCTTAAAATTTCTACTGGCCCTTGGAAAAAAGTTTTGCAGATCTAGTGTAGTATTTTAAAGGACATGCACAATTCATTTCACTAATGAAATAAAAATAATTCTACATAACGCCGCTGCGCTCTGCATTGCAACTTAACCTTAGACCTATCATGCATCAAATGTTCTAGGGAAGGCTGAGCTAGTGATATACGTCCTTGCATGGTCCCTTTAATACTGTTACCCAAAATAAGGTTGATTTTCATCTAGCGTAAAAGTGACTAAACTCCTAGCTGAAACCCCTGCAGTTAACATAAGACAATGTTTGACATGCCCTTTTTGAAATATCAATCATCGTGCTAAAGTGCCCTTTTCATGATTGGCTCCCTGCCCTTTTGAAATCCTAGCTGGAACACTGCTATTGTACAATCAATCAAGAATGATTAAAGGAATGCAAGGCTTTAAAATAGAAATTATTTTTATGTCAGACCTAAAATTGCAAATTCCCTCTATAAAGGACAATCAAATAAAGAAATACATTGGGGGATCCAAGACTGTCCATTGTGAGCAGGTGCCCATTTTTGTGGATGTGGTCTTTTATTCAGTCAAATTTGTAATATGATTTACTATCTTGTGACTATAATCAAGAGAAAGTTTTGTCAGAACATTGGAAATTACATGAATTACAAGAAGTTTTGTGTAAATCTGCAGTGGACTTTCTAGTGAAAACATCTAATATTTCCAGATTTAGTTGAAACGCTCTCCCACTTTCCCCCAAAAAAACATTAGAATGACTGATCCTTTTTTTATGGCTTGAGTTCGACATATATTTTTGTTTGGCCTTATTACAAAATTAACCACCAATGGCATGTGGTGTCAATCTACAGGTAATGTAGAAATAATAACTTATATAAACCATTATCTTATCTTACCCAAACTAGAGTTATCTTTTCTTGGAGAATCTTCGGAGGAACTTGTTTTATTCCTCTCTACTGTAGAAGGCCTGCTAACAGGTACCTGAAATCAACACAAGGTCATTTATAATTTTTTTTTTCAACAAATTATAGATACCCGAGGTATCCAATTCAGGGACTCTACTTTCATTTGTAAATCATAGATTTGTTTTTTGTTGCTAACTTAAATCATGAGACCAGTTTTCATGTCAGATATTATTATTTTTTAGTCTATGAAAATTTAAACTTATTCAATCCTACAAGTGCAATGAAGCTTTTGGTCTTCCAAATGTTACTGTCGCTTGTCCCTTGTAGAATTCAATGTTAAATCTACTTTAATAAAATATTGCAGTTTTATTGGTAGGCCATACAATCATTAAATGAAAGTTAATTCTGTAAATAGTGTAATGACTTTGTCATGGCAGTCGAATGATAAACAATGGAGAGCACAAATCTTGCCCTAAAAGATAAACCAAGAAATTTTGAGATTGTTTTCTAGGGTCTGTCCTGCCATTGTTCTGACCATTTTCCAAACAGGCCTTTATAATTCAGAGCAATCTAGAGCTAAGGTTGGGTCAAACCAAAGATTCAAAAATTGGAATATGCTGCTTCTCTTCAGAACATTTAAAAAATCTTACTGAGCATGTTGTTATAGTACAAATCAGGGTATATTCATTCATCATTACAATTATCATAATTGATCATAGCGTATGAGTTTAAAAACAGCTGATACTTGAGAATTTCGACCCACTACCCTGATTTCTAGGTAACACATAACATTTATGACATATATACATGTACTTGTATATTGGCACTGTATTTTGCAATATTTTTGCTATAATAAGCTAATGTTAAGCAAAGACATGCTATCAAAAGCATTGAAGAACTTGTTTATTTGAATGAATAAATCTTGAGATATATGTAGCACAACAAACCAATATTCAATTCAAATGACTATTTTTATTTTTATTTTATTCTCAGCAACAGTGTGGTGGTCCCTGCCTTATGTCTGTAATTTTCATGTTAAGTTTTAAATTGCACTTTTAATGAATTAGAATACTGCTGCAAATTTTGTTGAGTTATCTCCCTTAGACCATACTGAAACAATGTAGTGCATGGTTTGACCAAATTTTTTCACAGATACATGTCTCATAGCAAAATTCTAAATGTTGTAAAAAGAATTTAGTCCTGTAGTTCCAGGTTTTTAAGCATGCGTTATTGAAATTATTATAATGGGATTAAATTAAATGCCTAGGGTTCTTACTAAGGATTTTTTAAGCAATTCCAGGGGAGTCTAAAAGTAGGAAGATGAAATTTTACTGCTGTTATACATGTTATAATTTTCATTATTTCAGTCTCATAGACGAAATTGAGCATGGAAATGATATCAAATTTAGATTATTTTATAAACACTTGTTATAAAATGATGTGCTCAGTTGATATAGCATTTTACAATTTTGATGCATCTTTGGACTCACCAGTTTTCAAAATGATGAGTCCAGACAGATTTTCACGAGTCCATGCCAGTACTCACGGACTTGCCTCAGTGAGAACCCTGATGCCTTCAGTCAATTAAAAAAAGAAATCAAAATAACCTCCATTAACCTCTGGCTAAAAATCAAAACTTACAGTCTGTAATATGGCACTATAAGATATTCCTACAGCAGAAGACTTATTGCTTAAAGCTTTAGCACTACTTAAGTCAGGAAATTCTTCCACATCTTCAAAATGTAGCTCCACTTCCTGTTTTGGTTCAAGATCAGCTTCATCTTGTGAATCTGCTGGGTCATCTGTGCTCTTCTTTTTTCGTTTTCTTCGTCGTCTACGTTTCTTTTTGCCCTGTGCTCCACTTTCACCTGCGGCTTCATTTCCAATAAATTCATTTTCTAAATTCTCTCCATTTTCCTTCTTTTTGTCCTCCTTCAGAATGTTTTTATTAAAATTTGATTCATGCGATTGTTTTCTTTCACCTTGCTTATCCAAGCGTAAATTTTTAGTCCTTGAAAATCCATAATCATTTTCATCTAAGGAAGTAGTTCCTTTCCTTGAGAAGCCTCTTGTTTCCTCATCAGAGTTTGTTTGTCCAGTCTTTCTCACCTGATTTCTTTTTGTTTGAATATCTCCCTGAAATTTATCACTAACTTCTGATTTTTTGTTGGCATGTTTGTTGATATGTTGATTATTTAAATCATATGTATTAGAAGTGTTCCTATTGGCTAATTGAGAATCATGTGATCTATTTCCATGGTTTCCAGAACTTGGTTTTCCTTTGTTTTGATTATTTGATGATTTCTGTTGTCCTGTTCTTACACTTTCTGCACTCTTCTGATTATCTTGGTTTATCACAGGTCTTGGACTAGGTTCTTTTTGAGCAATGAAAGCATAGGAAAACTTTTGCTGAGGAACTGTTGCAGCATGAACTATAGATGGATCATCTGATTGGATAGAATTAGAGGTCAACTTCCATGACAGTGTAGAATCAGATTGGGTACCAATTGTTATCTGGTTTCTCTTATGAAGAGGACTTGAGTAACCACTGTCTGAATTGATATCCCGTTCTCTATTGTCATTTTGTCGCATATTTCTTCTATGTGATTTACGGTATAATGAACTCGGATGCTCCTCTAAAGTCTTATATGCAAAGTTCTCGGAAAAATCTACAAAATGAACAAACCAATCAATTGTTATTTATAACAAATGTAATTTTTACCAGAATACTTTTTCTTAATTCTGCAATTAAAATAAACTGAATTTACATTCAACATCATAAAATTCTGAAGAACAATTAATTTTTTTTCCGTATAAATGGGCTAATTACAAGTGAAGTTTGCCGGCAAAATATTTTTATTTTTAATTTTGGTATTTAATAACCAAACAATTCTATACCACCATTTTTTTTCTGTTAATCAATTTGGTTTTTTTTTGGTATAAAAATCCTCCAAAATAAACATAGCAAACCTGTTTGCACTTCTCGCTCATACAGAACTAAAACAGGAGCTCTTGGAGAATCTTTCTTACTTCCTCCCTTTTTGCCTGAATTTGTTCTTCTTCGCTGAAAAAAACAAGAAAACGTCTTAAAAGCCATCTGAAACTAGTTTCTTGGGATTATAATGTTTAGTTAATCATTAAATCATTGCATGCTACTTAAATAAGTCCTCTGTGCATGTTTTTAACATATAAATTACAAACTAATGACATTTCTCATTTCTTTTTAAATAGCATTGCATAATTTTAACTGGAATCCATTTGTATTTAATGGTCCAAAAAGTGTAGAGTCAGTGGACAGGCATTTTCAGCTCTAACCATGCAATAACTATCAAAAAATGCTTTTCTCATTTTAATACATTGATGACAAAAATTGAGGTAAAGTCTGAAAATGGAGATTTTGACTTCTTCTTTTTGAGTTATTGGCAAATGGCACTTTATTATCCTTGCCTTATTCTTATAGATTTCATTCTCATGACAAAATTAAGGTTAAGTTGTTTTGAATATAACATTAGTCGTACATGAGTTATGGCACTTGAATGTTTTAACAATGCCGCTAATTAATGTAAGAAAAACCTGCTTTGCTGTGATTTTAGACAGGTTCTTGTTAAGTTACCTGTCTATTAGAACTCTGTGTTTGTTATGTTACCTGTCTATTAGAACTGTCTGTTTTCCTCCCACTATCATCTGTTCCTATACTCTCATTGGATCGCCATATATTGTTATTAATATTGTTACTGTTTTTATCTCTTTGATTTCGTCTGCGTCTGCTGTTTGATGAGAAATTATTGCTGTTGATATCATTTTCAAATCCTGACTCTCCATCACTGGGCATGACAGGAAGAGATGTCATATTATTGATGAGAAAATTATTTGGAGGTGGCATGAACTGATTGAAATATGGATCTTGAGGTGGTGGTGATGTGAATGGGAACAATGGTGGTTCTGAAAATTTGTTTGGAGTAGGAAATCTGTTTCCATGGTGACCTGAAAAAAATCAATAAATGTAACATTACTTACTTATATTTTTATCATGATTAAATTCTATTTTGAAAGTCTTTAAGATAAAGTTTTACTAAAGTAATCACAAAGATTTATTCCAAGAATATCTGTCCACAGGACACCATGACCTACTTGCACTATCACATTTTTTATGTTCAGTGAAATGTAAAAACAGGTTGCTGTGTATCATATTTGGTTTTTGTTTATTGCTTTGTACATAAGTTTATTTCCAAGGTTAAGTTGTTTTACATTTTGTTATGTCAGGGCCTTTTATAGGTTTCTAGGCTGTATGTGTTTTGTTATGTCAGGGCCTTTTATAGGTTCCTAGGCTGTATGGGTTTTGTTATGTCAGGGCCTTTTATAGGTTCCTAGGCTGTATGGGTTTTGTTATGTCAGGGCCTTTTATAGGTTCCTAGGCTGTATGGGTTTTGTTATGTCAGGGCCTTTTATAGGTTCCTAGGCTGTATGGGATTTGTTATGTCAGGGCCTTTTATAGGTTCCTAGGCTGTTTTGGTTTTGTTATGTCAGGGCCTTTTATAGGTTCCTAGGCTGTATGGGATTTGCTATGTCAGGGCCTTTTATAGGTTCCTAGGCTGTATGGGTTTTGTTATGTCAGGGCCTTTTATAGGTTCCTAGGCTGTATGGGATTTGCTATGTCAGGGCCTTTTATAGGTTCCTAGGCTGTATGGGTTTTGTTATGTCAGGGCCTTTTATAGGTTCCTAGGCTGTATGGGTTTTGTTATGTCAGGGCCTTTTATAGGTTCCTAGGCTGTATGGGTTTTGTTATGTCAGGGCCTTTTATAGGTTCCTAGGCTGTATGGGGTTTGTTATGTCAGGGCCTTTTATAGGTTCCTATGATGTATGGGGTTTGTTATGTCAGGGCCTTTTATAGGTTCCTAGGCTGTATGGGATTTGCTATGTCAGGGCCTTTTATAGGTTCCTAGACTGTATGGGTTTTGTTATGTCAGGGCCTTTTATAGGTTCCTAGGCTGTATGGGTTTTGTTATGTCAGGGCCTTTTATAGGTTCCTAGGCTGTATGGGTTTTGTTATGTCAGGGCCTTTTATAGGTTCCTAGGCTGTATGGGTTTTGTTATGTCAGGGCCTTTTATAGGTTCCTAGGCTGTATGGGTTTTGTTGTGTCAGAGCCTTTTATAGGTTCCTAGGCTGTATGGGTTTTGTTATATCAGGGCCTTTTATAGGTTCCTAGGCTGTATGGGTTTTGTTATGTCAGGGCCTTTTATAGGTTCCTATGATGTATGGGTTTTATTATGTCAGGGCCTGTTATAGGTTCCTAGGCTGTATGGGTTTTGCTCATAGCTGAAGATGGTATGATTTGATTGTGATATTTGGTGTTTTAACACCACTTTTAAGCACCGCTTTTGGGCTATTTCGTGGCAGCCAGTTTTTATTGGTGGAGGAAGCTGGACTGCCCGGAGAAAACCACCGACCTTCGATAGGAAAACTGACAATCCTAGTCAATTAAGATTGGAGTCGAGTGCACCCGGACAAGCGGTGTTCGAACTCACAACCTCAGTGTTGACTAGCTAGTGATTACAGTAATAACTACTTAGACCACTCGGCCACCGATGCCCCTGAAGATGGTATGAAAACCTATGTCATTTGGTCTCTTGTGAATTATTGTCTCATTGGCAATCATACAACATCTTCTTATGTTTATATCATAACCATAAATTGGCACATAATTTAATATTAACATCAAAAGAAATTTGGGTATCAAGTTTCAAGTTGATGTGACAACAAAAAAATTTAACCTAATAGGGATATCAATGGACAGACGAAGACAGATCCACATACCAGAAAATGTAATACCCCTCAACTATCATAGGTGATGCAAAGAAATGAGGTAAAGGTCAAATGAAACCTGTTAGAAGGGCATTTCATATATTACAATCATTCTATCATGTCTATATGATGATCAAATATAGTTGACCTATTCCTTAAAGTATAATGGGAAACTGATTAACCATGCAAACTTAATATTGATCACTGATCCATGAAATGAGGTCAACATCAGGTGAACAATGTCTGACACCTATGTTGACCTTGAAATGATTCTACATACCAAATAAAGGTTTATAAGGATTGTGTGTGTTGAATGGCAACTATGTTACCAAAATCTGTCTTGTTGCTCATTTATTTATTTGATATTGTTTCAATGATTATAACCAGAAATTTAAACAAAAAATTAAATGGGTCAAAAAAATTTGAGGCCTTCTAAAATATTTGTGTTTCCGATAACCCTACCTACACGATCGATTCCTGAATAAGTTATTAGAGAAAAGTAATATACATGTGTTATTACGAATACTTTCTCTTAATCTGTAGTAACATATGTTTGTTATCAGTTAAATGTACCACCAAATTTTTTTAATTTTCAGTGGGCACTTGGGAATTCTTGAAACTTGCGCAGTAACTTAATACATAACCTTGAAAACTCATTTTCCAATTCAATTAATACATTTTTGATCAACCATGGTAAATCAATGAGACAAGGCTTTTAAGTGTCAGATAACTTAGCTGTAATAACAAGGCTTAGTTATTACAGGCATTTAACTTATTACATGAAACACTTGGGAATGACTAGGAAGCTTGCGCAGAACCTCATTACATGCTCTTATCATTATTTATTACAATAAATTAAAATACATTGTGATATATGTAGGAGAAAAGGCTTTGAAGAGATGTAGAGAAGCTGTAATAACACCCTTTAGTTATTACAGGCATATTTTTTCTGTAATAACATGGGTGTGTTATGCATGATTGGCAAACTATGAGCTGTTACATCTTTCTAAAGTTTAATATACATAAAGACAAATATAATATCAATAGAACTAGTACACAATTTAACAAAATAAAGGATGTATAATGCCCCTTTGAAACATGTAACATACATATGTTATCACAGATTTTTGATTTGTTAGCCCTCAATAACAAATGTATGTTATTTTTCTCTAATAACTTATTTAAGTTAGACCCTTGACTGATCAAAGTCAAACTGTTTTGTCAGTTTAAACCAGTCAAAATTATTCATCTACCTGCCTATCCTAAATGTTTTCAGCGTGTTAGCTGAAATATAAGTATTATTTTTGGTAGGTCTGACTATTTGAGAAATTTCTGCAAAAAGTTTTTGAAAAAAAATGATTTAAAATCATCTTCAAGGGCAATAACTCCTAAAAGGAGTAAGTTAACTATTTCTGCCATATTGACTGATTTCATGATCATGTATTGCTAATCATTTTAGTTGTTTACAGGTTTTACCTACCAGTATCTGTTATAGATTATAAGATAATGGGCAAAAACTTCAAAATCATCAATTAAAGGAAATACATCCTTTAATAAAGAGCTGCGCCATGAGCGCATGATACGCCCGTCGCTTTTTCAAAGAATAAATTCCATAACTCCTCAATGTCATATCAGAAATTTATAAAATATACTAAAGGGACCTTATTTAAATAGATATAAACCAGTCACCAAAGTTTCATGAAAACTACTCAAAGCACTTTTGAGTTATTGTCCCATAATAAAATCCCATAACTCGGAAATGTAAAGTCTAAAATTCATAAAAATCGAAAAGCTCACATCATTAGATATAAACAACTCACCAAAGTTTCTTGCAAATTGGTGAAAGTGTTTTTGAATTATTGTCCGAAAACTGGAAAATCCCCCATTTTTAATGAATAAAACCCCACAACTCGGAAACGTAAAATCTAAAATTTATAAAAATCGAAAGGCAGCTCACCTCAATAGATATAAACAATTCACCAAAGTTTCATGCAAATTGGTTAATTTGACGACGGACAAACAGACGGACAACGGTATACCATAGTACGTCCCGTAAAAGGGCGTATAAAAAATCCTCATGGTTTCCATCATACTGGCATTATTGTAGATCTTGTATCACTGATTATTTTTGCCATTAACAGTTTCTACCTATCTAACATAGCTTTTGAGATAATCTTCATAAAAATGATAATTAGTAATAAATCTACATTTCAGGAGTCATCGGTTAATTTTGGTGAAAATAGGAAGTATGTAGATCTTGACATTCTGAACATATTTGCCTATGTCAGATTTTCTCTAAATGTTATGTTAATGTTTTCAAAATATAGGACAATTCATGCCTTTTACCTCAGTTTTATTTCTAGCCATGGCAGCCATGTTTTAACTAACTGGGAAAAAAGACCACAAACTTTACACTAAAAGTCATTAGGATCATTCACTTATTATGAAAATTTTTTTTACATTAAAGCATAAAATTGGTTAAATAGTTTCTGAGGAGAAGATCTTTAAAAAATTTAATGATGGACCACGCAGGACACCAAGTGATTGGAAAAGCCATTGGAGATAAAAAGTGTATATGACAGACAGAAAAATTAGACAATAAACTGTTGACACAGAGATATGCCTCGCCTGTCGGCATAAAAATCAGAAAAAGACAATCTGATGGACACCAACATTGCTTATTAATTCAGATGCTAGACCAAGATCTACTGGGCAGGGCCTGAATATGGTCGACAAACTGAGATGTACAGACAGTAATGTAACATTATAGAAATATTGTTGTCTAAATTGTAATAGTTCCTATTAATCTAACTTAAGAAGAAAACTTAACATTGAAAATTGCTAACTAATTCAAAGTCACTGGACCTTGTCCTAAGGGGTAGGGCCTTAAAATAGTCATCAAACTAATATGTACTGATAGTAATGCAACTTTGTATTAAATATCAATGATCTATCGCAAGTAGTTCCTATCAAACTAACTTTTCACAATTGTTGACGCCGTCGTCGCCGAAGCCGTCGCCGCCGAAACCGTCGCCAGAAAATCAATCCCTATGTTTCGCTTTCCTCGACTTTCAACACAGGCGATACAAAAATCAACATTTATGGCTATAACTCCTTAACAGAGTCATCAAAATCGTTGTTGTTGTATTGGCATATTAGTAGATCTTACATTTTTTATTATTTCTGCTGTTTACAGTTTCGAACTATTTATCATAGTTTACCATAAATCATCATTCACCAGCAATAACTATAAACATGATAAAGTTTCTGAGATAATGGACAAAAAGTTGAAATTTAGTCCAAAATTATCATCTAAGGAAAATATATCAAATAAGAAGTCAACCAATGATATTGGCATTTTGTAGAACTTTCTTATATTGCTGATTATTTTTGCCTTCAACAGTTTTTACCTATATAATATAGTTTTCTTTGATAATAGACAAATCATTGGCAATCAAACCATTGATTGATTGTTGGTTGCTTAACTTCCAGTGGCAAATATTTCATACATGTTCAGGACGAGAACAAATTAACAATAAATACAATAGGTAGGTCCTGTAATAGAGGCCTTCCTGGATAAAGGTCATGGAAATTTTGACTGCCACGGGAAAATTAGGGCATGTAGGGTATATTGTATAGGGACAGAAATTTAGCTTTGCAACAGGCCACCTACAGACCCATTAAAGAATTGCTGCAAGGGTTCTTAACATGCAAAGAGTGTTGCACTCTCTTTACATGAGGCATCATATTTAACGTCCCCATTTTGACGGGACGTTGGGCAATCATACCACATCTTATTTTTAACATGTAATTTTCAAAATTAAAAATTATGCTTCATATCAATTAAACAGGCATATTTTTAATTCATGAATGTATGTCAAACCTGAATTGTTTCTATTTCCAAATCTGTTTGGTCTATGTTGTCTGGACCAGTTGCCATGGTTTCCACCCAGTCTGAAAACAAAATCCATATCTTTCATTAATAACGTAATTTTTCATATCAACAAAAAAAACTTCCTCATTAATTGTTTCAATTTTATTTTAAATCGTGTTTATGAATAGTGTTGATTTAGAAATAAAAATAATGTGTGTTCACTTTCACCAGACCTACCCTATTTTAAACCCCTCACCTACTTTTTTTCAACCTTTTTCTTTTAAGCACAATAAGACTCAAGATAAAATGCTTCGCTGAGCGCAGCCTGATAGGACCGCAGAGGTCGAACCCTGAACAGTTGGGGCAAATTTGGACACAATATTCAAGCTTGATACTGTCTGAATTTGGATTGTGATCAAATTTTTGACATAATATAGGTTTTTGACACAAAATAAATGTGGTCAAAGATCTTAAAAATCCACTGCGCAATACTGTGCAATTGAAGATTTCTTCTTGAAACTTTTCAAAAATTCGAAATTTTAAACATTTTGAAAAAAAAATATGAATCCCTTAAAAAAATTGGGGAAAAAATCCCCCCCCCCCCCCCAACTTTTTGAAACCCCCCTTGGAGCAATAACCCCAAAACTCAATCCCAGCCTTTCCTTTGTAGTACAATTTCAGAGAGATCCATACACTTACACACAATTAGTACATAAACTGTTGGCCCCCATAACCCCTAAAATGAATCCCAACCTTCTACTTGTGGTATTAAACATTGTGGAACAATTTGAGAGCAATCGAAATACTTATACACAAGTTATTATCCTGAAACTAGAAAAATTCTTGTTTTGGGCCCCTTTTTCTAAACAGTTGGGACCATCATCCCCAAAATCAATCCCAACCTTCCTTTTGTGGTATTGAACCTTCTTACAAAAATTTCATAGAGATCCATTCACTTAAACTAAAGTTATTGTCCGGAAACCAATGTGTCTTAGGACGACAACGCAGACGACGGCGACATTATACGATCCCAAAAAAATTTTTGCGGTCGTATAATAAAAATCAAAGCACCTGACTTAAATATCCACTATACAAACTATTATATTAACATAATTATTTTTATCTTTGTTATTTTTGAACCAGTATTTTTTGGAAGTTCTCTTAAATTACAAGCAGATGATAATACCACCTCTATTCTACATGTACCAAGCTACTGTCAGATGATAAAACCACCTCTATTCTACATGTACCAAGCTACTGTCAGATGATAAAACCAACTATATTCTACATGTACCAAGCTACTGTCAGATTATAAAACCAACTATATTCTACATGTACCAAGCTACTGTCAGATGATAAAACCACCTCTATTCTACATGTACATGTACCAAGCTACTGTCAGATGATAAAACCAACTATATTCTACATGTACCAAGCTACTGTCAGATGATAAAACCAACTCTATTCTACATGTACCAAGCTACTGTCAGATGATAAAACCACCTCTATTCTACATGTACATGTACATGTACCAAGCTACTGTCAGATGATAAAACCAACTATATTCTACATGTACCAAGCTACTGTCAGATGATAAAACCAACTATATTCTACATGTACCAAGCTACTGTCAGATGATAAAACCACCTCTATTCTACATGTACATGTACCAAGCTACTGTCAGATGATAAAACCAACTATATTCTACATGTACCAAGCTACTGTCAGATGATAAAACCAACTCTATTCTACATGTACCAAGCTACTGTCAGATGATAAAACCACCTCTATTCTACATGTACATGTACCAAGCTACTGTCAGATGATAAAACCAACTATATTCTACATGTACCAAGCTACTGTCAGATGATAAAACCAACTATATTCTACATGTACCAAGCTACTGTCAGATGATAAAACCAACTCTATTCTACATGTACCAAGCTACTGTCAGATGATAAAACCAACTCTATTCTACATGTACCAAGCTACTGTCAGATGATAAAACCAACTATATTCTACATGTACCAAGCTACTGTCAGATGATAAAACCAACTCTATTCTACATGTACCAAGCTACTGTCAGATGATAAAACCAACTCTATTCTACATGTACCAAGCTACTGTCAGATGACAACTATATTCTACATGCTTCACAACCCTTCTTACCTGTTTCCATTAAAATCTGGCTGCACAAACGGAAAGCAGTTGGTCATGTAAGTAGGTATTGTTTGTAAGGGTGGTATCGGAGGGCCATAATTACGAGGTATAAATACTGCTGCATTCGCTGATAAACCAGCTGCATGACCATTTCCCTGCAAAAAACAAAGATGATAACTTTTTATAATATAACAAGCATTCTGAGAGTATTGCATGGCAATACATAGTCCTCTACCGGTTAAAAATTCATTATACTGGAACAAAATGCTAACTTGTTCTATAACTTGTCATGGTGTAAACAAAAAGTAAATATCATGTCAATATCTTCAAGCATGACTAAAAACAGTGTGGAAAACTGAATATATGAGAGAAATTTTTCAAGTCCAAGGATCATAACTCTGCACAAAATTATCAGACTGAAACATAAATTTGAACTTGATCTGTAACTTGTCATGATATAACTATATACCAATTGTCAATTAATATCTTCAATCATGATGAAAAAAAGTGTGGAAAGCCTATAACACTCTAACATTAGATATGATGTAATACAATGTATATCTATTTTCGAATTACAATCAAATATAATTAAAAGTTCCAAATATTTTTTTCTTTCATTTGTCACAAACTAATCATGCTAATATAGATTTGTAACTTATCTATAAAATGTCAACAACTTTTATCTACACAATCATGACAATGTAATGTAATGAAATATATACTTTAATAAAAATAGATTATTATCTAATTAAAGGATTTCACTTAATAAAAAAAAAATATATATATATATATACATGTAGCATTCAGAAAATTAGTTTAGGCCAATTAAAATTAATTGATAGATTTTCATCCCCGCCCGCCCCTCTGAAAACGTTCCGCCCCAATTTTTTTTATTTTGAAAAATTTACGATTTCCGGATTTTGTTCATTTTTGTTACCGGTAACTGTCGATAATTTCGTTTCATTAATAACATCCTGTTTCAAATTTTGGTTTTTGCATTTCTTTGTATGTTTGATTCGTTATACATGTATATACATGATAGAACCTTATTATTACACTTGCATATATGAAGAACACGTCACAAGAGCGTTTCATATCTAATAAAAAATAAAAAATAAAATCCTCCCACCCACCCCATTTTTTTCAAAAATTTGGATGAAAATCTACTAATTAAATTTACTTGGCCTTATACAAAATAACATATAAACCTGCCACAAAATTCCTCAAACAATTTACCAAAGAATGTCTTTTAAAAAATGAGTTGTCTCCCTTTGTACAGATATATGGTTTAACATAGTACTTAACATTAGTTATGGATTTTTTTTATGGACCATAACTCTAGACTTAATCATCAGACCGGAACAAAATTCGAACTTGATCTATAACTTGTCATTATAAAACTATATACCAAATATCAAATCAATATCTTCAAGAACGAAGAAAAAAAGTGTGGAAATCTGAGTTGCCGGACTGACAGATGGACAGACGGACGGACAGACAGACAGAGTGCAAACCTAAAGTCTCCTTCGACTTCGTCGGTAGGGGACTAATAAAAAGGTATTTTCTGACAATAAATATGGTTCTTGTAATTATGCAAAAGGTAGACAACTCTATCTAAATAATAGTTGGCCATGTTTTTATACACAAAACATGCAAAACATAACTTGAGGCTCTAAAGAGCCTTTGGCGCTCACCTCCATTTTCAACAATGGCCACTTTTTAGTAAAATATCATCATCAAAGGGGAATAACTCTATAAAGAGTTAACTGACAAAGAATGACAGACGCCAAATGATGTTGACAGCTCACATTGGCCTTTTGGTTCAGGTGAGCTAAAAATGGCATTTCTGAAGCTAAAATGCAATTTTGATAATTGACAAATTAGTAAAGATACAAATACTGTGAAATTATTACATGCATTTATTATTGCGATTTCTGAAGAATGGACGAAAATGTGATTAATTATTGTGATTTCAGGAAACTCTGCATACAGATACAGTACAAGATATCAGAATGTGAGTTCTTATTATTGCAATATTCACCCAGACGCATAATTCGCATTAATAAAAATCGCAATAATTTCTGAATTTACAGTACTCAAAATCATCAATATAACTGGTACCTGACCATGTTGACCATATTAAATATGGCTTTGGGAAACAACAATGGTCTTTCAGGGTTAGTTTTCTCATTTGAATTGTTTTACTGTTGTCTTTTTTTGGGGCCGCCTTTTATAGGTGACTATATAGTATGGGTTTTTGCTCATGATTGAAGGCCTTGCGCAAATACTTAAGATCTTTGCGCAATCAGTTTCTTTGTTGAATTAATGAAATGAAACATTGAACTCCAATCAAAAATTATGAGCTAACCTGGGAAAAATCACTAAAGGCATGTTTTTACATCTCAAAACGAGAGTTTTTGTGGGATTGTAAAAAAAAAATTACTTATACAAGTGAATTTTTTGAGAAAATTAAGGGGAGATTATTCAAACATTATAATTAACTTATATAAATATAAGTATATTTTTTTTACTTCTTCAAGTAAATAAATATTACTTGTACAGGAAGTACCCCTGACTGTATGTTCAAACCCACAACCTCAAAAAAAAAAATAATATGCAAAATAAATTTATCTATTAGTGTAAATTATGCACTCGACAGCGACTAGAAAGACGCATATTTTTGTAACAGTGTTCTCCTTTACCAATGTTTAAATGAATAGGGTTTTTGAAAACTTAAATTGACAAATAGATAGGGTTTTTGGTATCAGGTCGTTCCGGCCCCAAGTCGATCTGTTCCAAGTCGATCCGGCCCATAATAAACAAGAGTGCACACGCTGAAATGTCTCGCCTTCTTTACTAATCATTGATATTATGTTGATAGTCCTAAATATAAAGCTTTACTACAACTATCACATACACTTAACATGATCCAAGAAAATGAGGTCAAGGTCATATAAACCAAACAAGAAATACATGTACACCTAACAATCATTCAATACACTAAATATAGTTGACCTATTGTTTATAGTTTCTAAGATACAGACTTAACCAAGAAAACTAAACATTGACCAATGAACAAAGAAAATGAGGTCAAGGTCAGATGAACAATGCCAGGCAGACATGTACTACAGCTTGCAATCCTTCCATACAACAAATATAGTTGACCTATTGCTTATAGTATTAGAAAAACAGACCAAAACACAAAAACTTAACACTGAGCAATGAACTGTGAAAATGAGGTCAAGGTCAAATAAAACCTGCAAGACTGACAGGTACATCATAAAATATTTCCATACACCAAATATAGATGACCTATTGCATATAGTATTAGAAAAAAAGACCAAAACTCAAAAACTTAACTTTGACCACTGAACCATGAAAATGAGGTCAAGGTCAGAAGACACCTGCCAGCTAGACATGTACACCTTACAATCAGTCCATACACCAAATATAGTAGACCTATGGCATACAGTATAAGAAAAACAGACCAAAACACAAAAACTTAACTATAACCACTGAACCATGAAAATGAGGTCAAGGTCAGATGACACCTGCCAGTTGGACATGTACACCTTACAGTCCTTCCATACACCGAATATACTAGACCTATTGCTTATAGTATCTGAGATATGGACTTGACCACCAAAACTTAACCTTGTTCATTGATCCATGAAATGAGGTCGAGGTCAAGTGAAAACTGTGTGACGGGCATGAGGACCTTGCAAGGTACGCACATACCAAATATAGTTGAACTATTGCATATAGTATTAGAAAAAAAGACCAAAACTCAAAAACTTAACTTTGACCACTGAACCATGAAAATGAGGTCAAGGTCAGATGACACCTGCCCACTAGACATGTACACCTTACAATCATTCCATACACCAAATATAGTAGACCTATGGCATACTGTATAAGAAAAACAGACTAAAACACAAAAACTTAACTATAACCACTGAACCATGAAAATGAGGTCAAGGTCAGATGACACCTGCCAGTTGGACATGTACACCTTACAGTCCTTCCATACACCGAATATACTAGACCTATTGCTTATAGTATCTGAGATATGGACTTGACCACCAAAACTTAACCTTGTTCACTGATCCATGAAATGAGGTCGAGGTCAAGTGAAAACTGTCTGACGGGCATGAGTACCTTGCAAGGTACGCACATACCAAATATAGTTATCCTATTACTTATAATAAGAGAGAATCTAACATTACAAAAAATCTGAACTTTTTTTTCAAGTAGTCACTGAACCATGAAAATGAGGTCAAGGACATTGGACATGTGACTGACGGAAACTTCGTAACATGAGGCATCCATATACAAAGTATGAAGCATCCAGACCTTCCACCTTCTAAAATATAAAGCTTTTAAGAAGTTAGCTAACGCCGCCGCCGCCGTAGCCGCCGCCGCCGCCGCCGGATCACTATCCCTATGTCGAGCTTTCTGCGACAAAAGTCGCAGGCTCGACAATAAATCATAATTTATATCAAGGATTTATATAGTAATAATATAGTAATCTTAACTTTAAATCCTTGTTTATATCAATATTGGAGGATTTGGTGACATATTTGATTCAGGGTAAATGGAATTTGCACAAAGTATCGATAATTAATGACTGCGGGTAAGTGAAGTATGCCTTATATTGGAGGAACATTCAGATGATTTATTTTAAATCGATACAAAAAGGAGTATAATAAGTACTGTTTTTAAAGCAGCATCATCGTGTAGGGTAAACATGGGGAAGTTCGGACATTTTCCTAAATTATCTCATATGCATTTTAATTAGAATTTGTTTAGTAGCATGCATATACGAATGCATTAATAATATGAATATATAAGATTGGTACTTTTTTATTCTTATGTGCAGGAACAATCCCATACCTGCCAACTTTCATGATTTAGGCGTGTACTACACGATTTTGACCCCTTGTCACAATTGCACGATCGTGATCATGAAAAAACCTTTAAAACACGATTTTGTGAAAATCTACACGAAAAATATGATTGTTCCCAATTTTGAACTGTTCCCAAGGGAAGACAATCGTGATCAGCCAATCAAAGTCTGTGTTTCACATGATCAAATTAATAAGCCAATCAAAAACGTTTTCTGTCAAGATTATTGGGACATGCTAGATTTTGAACTTGTGTTGTATTCCTCTGTGTGTTAGTCAGATTTGTAAAATTGTGAACATGGCAGGTGAATTTTCATCTGTAAGGAGGTTCCTACTCAGCTTAAGAATAAAAGCAGGGCTGATTGACAAAAAATTCAATGATCAGGGCTCGACAATAACGCTTGTCCGATTGTCCGGTACCAGAGGAAAAAAAGGTCGGACAAGTAAAAGCTATATTAAGCTTGTCCGACGGGACAAGTTAAATTATTATGCAGAAAATAAATTTAATCCAACTTCTCTTACTGATCCGATGCTGCGCTTTGTAGATAAGGTAACTTTACAAGACAGTTCCTCACCAGCTCGAAACGATTCGGCTCCAAGTTTAATAGACAGTTTGGCACCGTAGGAGACATATTTAATAGACAGTTTGGCAACGCAGGAGACAGGAGATCAAAAACCTAACTTTGACCACTGAGGCACTAAACCATGAAAACGAGGTCAAGGTCAGATGACACCTGCCAGCTAGACATGTACACCTTACAATCATTCCATACACCAAATATAGTAGACCTATTGCATACAGTATAAGAAAAACAGACCAAAACACAAAAACTTAACTATAACCACTGAACCATGAAAATGAGGTCAAGGTCAGATGACACCTGCCAGTTGGACATGTACACCTCACAGTCCTTCCATACACCGAATATACTAGACCTATTGCTTATAGTATCTGAGATATGGACTTGACCACCAAAACTTAACCTTGTTCACTGATCCATGAAATGAGGTCGAGGTCAAGTGAAAACTGTCTGACGGGCATGAGGACCTTGCAAGGTACGCACATACCAAATATAGTTATCCTACTACTTATAATAAGAGAGAATTTAACATTACAAAAAATGTTAACTTTTTTTCAAGTAGTCACTGAACCATGAAAATGAGGTCAAGGACATTGGACATGTGACTGACAGAAACTTCTTAACATGAGGCATCCATATACAAAGAATGAAGCATCCAGGTCTTCCACCTTCTAAAATATAAAGCTTTTAAGAAGTTAGCTAACGCCGCCGCCGGATAACTATCCCTATGTTGAGCTTTCTGCAACAAAAGTCGCAGGCTCGACAAAAACCATACCGTAATTTTTTTAACAAGAATATATCTTAAATAAAAATGAAGAAATTATTTACCATAAAATTCCCAAATCATATTTGATCATATATAGAAGAAAAAACAATACTTGCAATACGGTGACTTATAGTTATTAATTTCTGTGTCATTTGGTCTCTTGCAGAGAGTTGTATCATTGGCAATCATACCTCATCTTCTTTTTTTTTATTGATTGAATTTGAATAAACTTTTTTCCACTTAAAAAACCAGGATACAAATCAAATGAGTGGAAATTGACAGGCCTATCAGCATGATCAGACGGTGCCTCATGTGTAGAGTCTGATGAGACTTTGGCATTGATGAAATCTAGAACATAAGTCCTGTGACATGACTAGATTCAGTTGTTCTCGACTCATATTTTTAAAAGGTATTTCAAAAGATATAAATCAAATTCTGTTCTATTGTTTTAATTCATTTTGTTCCTTGAATCAACTTAAAATGCAAAAAAGGTTATTATTAAGATTTTTGTTGGACAAGTTACAATTTCATTCGGACAAGTAAGTTTTGGTATGTACTTGTCCTACTGGACAAGTTGGAAAAAAAGTTATTGTAGAGGACTGATGATGCAGTACTACCATAAAGATAATAAATAGTAGTTTATTCACTAACTTATTGACATTACACTTGCTGTAACATATCATATACTACAGTTGTCATTTTTTTATTAAATTAAATTACCAAATCATTTAAAGTACAATGTTCTATTCTTTATTTTTCACAAGGACCAAATAAATGTCCTTCTTCTTTGTGCATAATTTTAAATTGGAAAAGTCAACAATCATTTAATATTCTTACACAAGAAAATATATCCTGGTATTCTAGCTACATGTTTATCTTTTCTACTGATATAATAACTAGAATCATGCAAATAAACAGAAGAAAAAGGCTTGTAAGCTCATAATACAAATATGACACTTTTTCTAGACCACAAACCAGCAGGAGCAAAAAAAGTCGCAAAGAATTGTAACCTTTGAAATTGATGTCGCGCACTAATACCCCCATGGGGATTTTCAAAGTTGGCAGGTATGCAATCCCGCTGGAGATTCAGCTCGCAGGGAAGCAGACCACAGCTTGTTGTAGTTTGAGAACTGATTTAAACAGAGACGATGAAATTTATGTATTACAATTCATATATGTCATGTATGTATATATTTATAAATTGGGGCTGAATAAGACTCTAAATATGGGGCTGGATCGACACGAAAGCGGGTTTTTTTAATGTTTTTGTTGCGTAATCACACAGAGATGCAGCTTATCAAATTTATCATGTAACAGCACACATTTTGTACCAGTTAAATCAAAGGCTATCATTCATATTTTATTTTGAATTCTTAGGAATTTAGGAACATTTTATTTATTTCTTCCTGTTCAGCTGTTGTTTTTATTTTCGTTTTTTTTTTTTTTTTTATTACAAAATTTTATAGTCTGCAAGACCAGTACTTTCTTCCATTTTAACTGTACAGTGCAACAAGAGATTTATAGGATTTTTCTATTTGAATTGGTGAAAACTTTACTTATTTCTCAAATTAACAGATCATGGCACTGCTTCATCAGGTGATTTGTGCCAAATATTTTTGTGGGCCAAGAGATAATGATAGCATTACGCAATGTTATTTTTATATAGCTTTCACGTTGGGACCAACCTGGGGGTCCATGGTAAAGTTTACAGATTGTGCCATGGAATTTCAATCTTTTTATGTGTTGTAATTTTCTTCATTGTCACGATGGAACAGTTTTGCCGAATCTGTGCATTCCTACGTTGCAAAAGTTGTCGTTCATTAGCGGAAGTTGTAAGGAGGCGTGTATCACGTGACAAAATTTTTCCTAAAATGTAAATAAACAAACCCATGTGCGTATAAAAGAGTAAACAAACGTGTCATATTGATTTGTTATTTAAATGGCTCGATTAGATTCGTGACTTTAATTGAATAGATTGATGCTATATTTGTATGCAATACTACTAAAGGGGTCTTTAACGACCTTGACTACCCATGATGTAAGCAATGCATCACATTACTGTTTTAATAATGGTGAAGGAAAAAAGGGGAACCTGGTAAGGGGGAGTCTAAAGTTAAAAATTTTTTTATATACTCCAGACCACACTTGTGCTGCTCCTGGCGATTAATTTTTTGGGAATAGTAATCTGGACTTTAATGATATAATCCATTTTAGCATTGAGTTTGTTAAACCAAACGTGGCAAAACTTGATTGCTCCTCGGACTATTAAACTATTATGTCCCAGACTGCACTGAAAAACTATCTCATCAGGCCATATGTAGACAGGATATCTTTGTTTTTTTAATGTTGCTTGCTCAACCCAAAATAGAGCGGACAACTGTCATTTAGAGTTCCCCTACAAAATACTTTTGAAAGCAAAAAAAAAAAATATCCTTTTAACGAATGATGCTAGAAACAGCTTTTTATAGTGCAAATAACTTTAAATCTGGGACTATTATATTATTATACTAGTATAATTGTCCCAGTTTAAATCCAGCAAAATTGCATTCATTTTTTCAAAAGATTCTATTTAATACGTATAAACATGATCAAGCTGTGCCTTTTCAGATAAAAAAAACTGTGCTAACGTGTCTTTCTCCTTAGAACTGTTCCCATGTCAAGTTAAATCCTAGCTACATCATTGTTTACATCCCGAGTGGCAAATATTACCGCTTTATTAATTGATATTAGAGAATATATTTAAGAACAAAATTAGGGACAAAGTGTTTGTTCTGCACGATAGGTCGAATGGGATACTTGAAGGGCGGAAACGTTGTTGTAAAAATTGATTATTGAACTTGCAGAGAGTGCGGCAAGGTACACGAAGCCGTTCATGGAGATATGCGATCTCTGAACATTTTAAGCTATACATGCATGCACTGAAAGAAACACACTATATTAGTGTTCAAGAAGACTCGGAAGATCAAAGATAAAGTCATTTTTAAAAGTGTAGTAAACAGTTGTGTTGTAGCTGGTGCAAATGAAGAGCCGCCACCCAGCTGTATTATGCTAAATTTATACGTCAATAGTCTTTTTAAAATTACATGTACAGTATTTAAAATGCTATGCGTATGTAATAACATGTATAACCTATAGGTGTTTAATTTTATTTTTGCACCATTGTACTAGCTGATTTAATGCTCTGCTTAATTTTTAGATTTGCACGTTTATGATGTTAGTGAAATGAATATTTTTGTAATTATTCTGTTTTTCTTATGAAATCGTTTTTTAAACTATTAAATAAAAATGACACAACCTGGAATTAAACTATGTTGAACTCTTTTACCAAAATCTTTGATATTCCTTTTGAGTAAAAGATTTTAGTGGAATGTATTAGCTGTTTCTTAATTATGTGCAGGTTTTATGGCTTTCATTCGGTTAACATTTAATCGAGCCAACGGGTATATTAGACCTGGGTCCATTGGACGAATCAACCTTCTTTGGCGGAAAATGATGTATCGCAACGTTGCTACTAATCAATGCTGTTACCCGTACTGGTAGCGTGTTCGCCTCGAGTGCAGGGGGACGTGGGAACGATCACCGTCCAGGTCATCTCAAGATTTTAAAATTGGTACTTACTGCTTTTCTTTTCGCACGTAGTATTCAAGAGGACAAACAAAAACTTGATTAACGTGGAGTCAGACTATATTTGTCCAGGAAGGGTGACATGTCTTCTTGTGTATTGTTACCTTGTGAACTATCACAACACAGATCCGACTAGGCGTCAGTGACGGTCAAGTCCAAATGAGGTTTCATATTCGTATCACAGTAACATGTTCTCGTACTGAATATATGTATTGAATTTGCCACTGGACGTTAAACCACTGGTCATTATACTATTATCGGAAAGTAAACATCAGTACGTTGATGGTATCTGTAACCGAAGAAGTACTTATTTTATGCTGCGTTCACACGTAATTCGAATTCGATTCGCATTAACTGATTCGAATTAGTTTAATTCGCATTCGAATCGTTTTACGTCCAAACGTTAATTCTAATTCGAATTGCAATACGCGTCAAAGTTTGCTAGTTACTGTCCGAACGACGTTAACTTTTAATTCGTATCAACAAAACGGATTTCTAATGCGATTTGGTTAATGCGAATTAGCCACTTCGAATCAATTCGAATTAAAAAGGAAGAGTGTGTGAACGCGATAAGCGAATTCGATTCGCATTCGTTTCGAATTCAATTCGAATTAAATGTACGTGTGAACTAGGCATTAGGGACAAGTTCACAATTTGACATGGATCAAGATAACAATGTTCATGTCATTTGGTTATGCCACTTGATCCAGGACTTAAATAAAGGATCTTATTCTCATCGTATGAATTTCAACTTTTGCCTTGGACCAATGTATTAAGCACAACCTTTAAAGTTTACCCCCCAAATATCACGGCCGTCACTCGGCTAACCGAGAGATTGGTCGGTTAATCTATATTGAGTATGCGGCTATATCGGCGGTTGGTCTGTTAATTGGGTTGGCTAAAGTCTGTTAATCAGGTGTTATTGAGAAAATACTTGCAAGTTCAGTATGTTTCATTGTATAACTTTTTAAATATACTTTTTATCATAAAAATTATTCATGTCTGACAAAACAATTCAATGTACTGAATCCAGTGGTGTAATTATTTTTTTTCTAGCTTCGATAAACAATCAATAAAATGAAAAGGCGGGTTACTCATCAATAAATTTATACACATTTTACACACACAAAATGTACACAAAATGACAACTTGGCTGAATTTACTTGCATGCAATATTTTGAACATCGAAAAAAGACAGGCATTATGTTTGATAACCATATTAATATCATTGTGTGAAAAATCTACACGAAAATCTGTATTTTGGTGATATTAATCAATTTTTATTAAAAACCTGGTCTGTTAATGGGTCGGATGTATAAAACCCGGTCTGTTATTTGGTCTGTTAAGAGTTATGAATGGCAATGAAAATATAATTTGATTGCTTTATGGGGAGTTATCGGATCAAATGGGTAGGCTCAAGACGAGTGGCTAAAATATACGGAAACAACACATGAACAATGAAACATAAATTTAGAGAATGGAAATTGGAAATTGATAAAAATGGTTTCAAAAAGTGTAATATTAAAGTAATATTAATTTCATTCAAGAATGGTCGCATATATCATGTGAATTCTGTTTCGTTGTTATGAATGACACCAATTTGTCATCTACATTGGTAACCAGTATATACATCATTTTTATAGTTCGTTCTTATGTTGTACTGTTATACCACTGTCCCAGGTTAGGGGAGGGTTGGGATCCCGCTAACATGTTTAACCCCGCCACATTATGTATGTATGTGCCTGTCCCAAGTCAGGAGCCTGTAAATCAGTGGTTGTCGTTTGTTTATGTGTTACATATTTGTTTTTCGTTCATTTTTTTTTATATATAAATAAGTCCGTTTGTTTTCTCGTTTGAATTGTTTTACATTGTCATTTCGGGGCCTTTTATAGCTGACTATGCGGTATGGGCTTTGCTCATTGTTTGAAGGCCGTACGGTGACCTATAGTTGTTAATTTCTGTGTCATTTTGGTCTCTTGTTGAGAGTTGTCTCATTGGCAATCATACCACATCTGCTTTTTTATATCAGAGATAAACGTCGTAATGTAACTAAATTAAACATCAGTAAGTAAAATATATTGCGATGCTTAAATATAAAGAATAGAGAAAGAATAATGAGAAAAATAATTAAAATGTAGAGAAAAGTGACATAACAATTTAAAGAATACAGAAATAAACAACACCCCCAATCCGGACCCTCATGGTATACACGAGAATCTGGATGGAGACGCAGAATATAGAATAATAGATAAGGACAGTAAAGAGTGATGCATTGCTAAAAAAGAGAGAAAAATAACAATTGTTTATGAATACAGACATGAAACACCCCTTTTTACTATTTAGACCCTCCAAGATGATTGTTAAAACAATTTTGGCATTTATTCCACATCTCCTTATTTTTAAATTAATAGTATAGACAACGATACCTATATAGATGCTTTGCAATTTTTTTTACTGTATATTACTTTATGTTATTTGAGACTGGAGTCCGATAAACATTGGCCTCCTGTCAACCGCTGAATCTGATAGCTCAGTAAATATTGTAAAGTGCAAACAAAACAAAATTTCAGGGGGAGGGGGTGGTTGAAACAGTAACGGATTGCGATGTACTCAAATTGGTGACAAATGCTAGAATTTTACAAGCGCACAACTGCAGTTCTCTTCTGCACTTATGTAGAAAGGAACTAAACGGAATAAAATGAATTAAAACTTAAGAAAATCAAATGTAGCTGCATTCGCTTCTTTCCATTTACTTCTTTAGAATGTTTTGTAAACAACATATGATTAAGTAATAGAACAAAAGAACCAATTGGATGATGCTGACGAATAAGGTTTTAACGTCCAGTGGCAAATATCATGTCCATATGAGAACGACAACACGTTATATGTACCCGGTGTTGTATAAGATAGACACTTTCAGTCGGGTTTTTGAACGTGCTTCTTTGAACAGACACAAAAATCAAGGCTGATTGAAAACGTTAATAATAAATTCATGCATATTCCAGCGGCCAATCCATATCACGCTATATTGCAGTGACACACCTTTCAATAAAATGCAAAGAAAGTCAAAATAAAAATGCTCTTACTACAAGGATACTGTTGCACCGTATTGTATTTTTTTTTACTCAAGTACATCTCATTGTTAACTTTTTTAATGGGAAATTATAAAGGTAGCAAAACTATTGTCGTGGCTAAATAACTCTTAACTGACACAATTTTAATTGTC